GAGGTTGCTGTGAGCCGTGACCCTACGGCACTCTACGAAGGGCGATATCGTGAGACTGTCTCAAAAAAAAAAAAAAAAAAAGAAAAGAAAAAGAAAAATTAGAAAGAAAAATGGCATGATGTAAAAAAAGAATCTTGTGTAATAAATTTTGTCCTGAAACAAAATGGTTATATAAGAAAGTGAAAGGTGGGACAAAAATTAAAGAAAGTTTAGAATGTTTGTAGATTGTCTGTGTAGGTTAAATGAAAAAAAAAATTGTAAAAGAATATACATGTGATTCAGTTGACTATGCATTTCCCTTAAAATTTTTTGGCATGTCATCTTATTTAAACCAATGTTTTAGGCCTTTTGATATTTGACAAACCTTCCAAAATCAAAAGTCTAAATTTGAGCTTCGTTCCCATAGTGCAGTGGTTGCAGTGCTAGCCACATGCACCGAGGTTGGCAGGTTTGAACTCAGTCCAGAAAACAAAAAGCACAACTCTACCACTGAAAGGCATAGAAAAACAAATTGAACTCATTTGATTTATTAAAAATATATAGGAAACATTGTCAAATATGAAATGGTGATTAATTTTATATAAGTTATGGTTATATATATGTATTCCAATATTGTAAAGCATTAGTCTGTTCTAACATATTGTCAGTAATAATTTTGATTCATCTAAAAAAGAAAAAGAAATATTAAGAGAGGCTAACGAATTCTCTTAAATTCAAATTCCTGATGTCTTTGGAAATTGAGTACCTTAGGGCTAAAAGCAGATTTTTAGAACTTTTATTAGAAAATTAACATGTCTATGAATGTTGCTAACCTAACTTCAAACAAAACAAAAATCAGTTATGTGAAACTAGGCTAGTTGGTTATGGCTTTTTGTTTAAAATGTTATTGGTCCTTTCTATGTTCTGTTTTCCAAAAGTCAAGAAAATAATTCTTTGTCTTTTGAGCTATTTGTAGCCTTTCAAGCAATGTATATACTTATGAGCAGAGTTTGAAAAATGCATTTTTCTCTCTCCTTGATTTCTCTGGAATTTAAAAGTCATTAGTAAGTATTATTAGTTTCTGACAATATAGTTATTTGCATAAGTTCAATAAGAATCTGTTTTGTTCTATAGGACATGATAGAGGCACAGGTATTTTACCAAGGCTTTGGCTGGAATAACATTTCCAGAGGTATTCAGACTGCATTAAGGAATTAAGGTTGACTTTATAAGGCCAATAAAGAAAGCCCCTTGAAAAACTGGCCAGATACCCATCAGTAACCTTTCCTGATCTGTGGTAAGTAATGAAGGTCGCTTGCTGTCAGGTCTGAGAAATCGTAAGGTGCTTGGGGAACCTCAAAAGAAGAGGAATGTACCCAATGCATATAGGTATCTTACGGCACAGATGAAACCTGGGCTCATGAAAGGCTCTTGAGAAAGCCCGGCCTGAAAATTCCTTATGAAAGGTTCCAGCAAAGCCAAAAAGTCTAGATGACTAATAATAATTCTTACTGAGCTTTATGCAAATAATCAGTATACTGGAGGTACAGGTTATTTTGGCAACTGAGTTGGTTCTACTGTAATTTATCTTTAGTAAAGAGAGAAATTGGAGAGAGAAAAAAATAATTCAAAGAAAAAAAAGGAGGCTGTGGCTCACCTGTATTAGATCCCAGTATAGTTGTCTATACTGTCAACTCATAAAATAAGTCATAAATGTTTTAGTAAATTGAACTGTTAAATAGGACTAAGAGACTGTCCAAAGAGTGTAGTGTAAATGTGCGTCTCAGAAGGGAGACCTGAGATAAAAATGAATAATAAACAAAGGAAACCCACCCCATAGCTACTATGTTGAAACACTTTAGGAAAAAATTTGTAGGTAACTATGACACCAGGAAAACTAAGGAGTCTTTATGAGCAGGAGTGGTCCCTCTTTAAAAATGGATGGCTATCAGAAAAAAAGTTTAAAAAGATCCCTAGTGTCTGAAGCATGACACAAAGTTACTGAAAAGGAGGGTCATACTGAGCAATTTCTGTACAAGATACCTGGCTACAGCTATCATAGGCCAGCCCTCTTACCATGGAGCTTGCCAGGATCCTCCTCAGGAATTGGGAGAAGTAGAATTAAGGAAGCAGTTACAGGCACTGAAAAAGGTGACAGAGGCAATGTCAGAATGAATAAATGAAAGGTGTCCTGTTAGTTTGTTTTCCGTTGTCCACCTTTTCTCTCCAGGAGCTGCAGTATAGATCAAAAATTAGAGCGTGTCTTCCCTGAGGGTAAGATGGAAAGGCCCTTACATTATCCTGACCACACCTACAGCTGTGAGAGTAGCAGAAATTCCTGCCTAGATCCATTACAGCAGAGTGAAGCCTGCTATGGAACTGGAGGAGAACCTGCTCCTGCCTAAAAGGAACTGGAACAATGGCAGCTGATCCTGAGTTCCCAGGGCATGGGCTCCGCACCTCAACAACTCCTGAACCTTAAGAAGCTGCCTCGGATCCTGACAATCCCCTCGAGCTGATGTTACAAAGAATGGCAAGCCCTGCTCCAGTAACACCCTGGAAGATGACTGGTCCACGCATGGCCAAAGCATGAGGATCTTCGTCATCATAGAACTGTTCTTTATTGGACTCAGGAAAGCTAAGTAAACTTTAGTTTGTGCAAATATTCAGGATGCTAATATAAAGAAATTATGTAAAACAGATTAACTTTAAATTATATGTCCCCCTAGTTAACTTCACTACTGTCCGCCATCGCAGGCCCTCTTTTGATCCTATTACTACTTCTCACCCTTGGCCCCTGTATTATAAACCGCCTAATAGCTTTCGTCCAGGCTAAGATCAACGCTGTCCAGATGATGGTTCTCTGCTCTCAGTACCATAAAAGGAGACCACCACCACGAGGACTCACGATTGAGCCTCAAATGCACCTAGGAAAGGGGGGAATGTGGGGGCCGAGCTGACGCCATTTTAATGACAGCCACCGCTGCCATCTTAGGCCCAATGAGTCAGCATAACATCCCCCACCCATCCCAAAGATAGCACCACCCCATGGTGTGAAACCTATGCCCAATCATGAGCTAATGCCTAACCTGTAATCTGCCCATTCCCCTAGCAACCAATCAAAATTGTACCCGTACTCTGCCCCTCCCCTTCTTGTTTTCTGTACTTTATAAAAACTGATTGCACTTCCAGAGTGGGGCTCTTCCTTGGTGTGCTCACTAGGAGAGTCCAGGCCCCGGCTTGAATAAAGCTTGACTCATGATCTTTACAATGGAGTGTGTCTCGGACTAACTCTTGGGTGGGGGATTGGGAAAAATCCAGGCACAACAATTTATTTATTTCATGAACTTAGAAGACAGTACTCGTATTATTTATATTTTATAGTGGCCGCAAAAAGTCTACTGCCAGCCTTGAAAGTGACACTTACAATTTAGGAGGTATCATTATTAAAAAAGTGTATTGATAAGGAAAAGGTTAAATCTTGGGCATCAACAAAAATCACAATAGAGAACAAATGGTTAGAAATATTTCATCATTTTGAAGCAAACCATGTGCCATACAATAATGCACTAAAAATTATGGGATACTCACTGCCCTTACCAAGAACTAATGCTGCGACTGAATGTGTTTTTTTCTATGGTAAATAAAGTGTGGACATCAGAAAAATCACAATTAAGTGTTGAGACTTAGAAAGCCATTTTATGTGTGAAATATAATTTAAGAAATTCTTGTGAAAAATTTCATGACCTTTTAAACAATGACAGCAATGAACTAAAAAAATTCACTCAAATGAGAAATATGCCAAAGAATAAAATAATACTATGTATAATTTTTTAAGTGTATTATATTTGTAAATTGTACTTATGTTGAAATTAAAAAAAATTACAATACTATTTTTGCATTCTATGAAAATTTTTGTTGCTCCATATAGACCAAAGTTTTAATTAAGACCCCTCCCCCAATGGTGTCCCGCTTTACCAATGTTAAAATCTGGTCACCTTAGCTTAAGACCAAGAGTTGGAGGTTGCTGTGAACTCAAAGCACTCTACCCAGGACAACACAGCAAGACTCTGTGAAAGAGGGACACTTGGACCGGCAGAGAATTCTCAGACCACCAAGGCTTGTACAAAAGGTCTTTATTGATGGAGGGAGGGAGGCTGCAGAGCAGCACCTAGAAGGAGGGAAGAGGGGAGAGAGTAGAGAAGAGAGGGAAGACAGAAGGAGGCGAGAGAGAGCGATGGTGGGGGAACATATTCTTATATAGGGGAGTTTTAGAACGGTGACGGCTGATGGGATAACCAATAAAGAGTTATTCCTCCAGCGGAAAGAGCCATTAGGGGCGGGCAGCGGGAAATTGGAATAGGGTGATAAGGTAAGCAGGTCACTCCCTGTACTAGGGAGTTGTAACTTTAGGGGCAGAAAGGGGCTTTGGGGGAGGGGACTTCTGAAGCAGTTTTTTAACACTCTTTCTCAAAAAAAAAAAAAAATAAAAAAGATGCTTTTATGAAAGCAGGGGGTCAGCCTGCGCAAGGAAAGAAGCGCGGTTTCCTTCCCCTTGGCGGACTCCCGGTACCGGTACCAGGGCAACTGCGCATGCGCAGAGGCAAGCTAGCTGCTCGCAAAAGAGAAGGCGGGGCGGGGCCAGAGGGAACACCCCCGCCCCCATTGTTCTTGACTTGAGCTCCTGTACAACCCTCCGCAGAACTTCCTGTTTTCCTCTCTGACCTCGGAAGGGAGGGGGCGGAGCCCTCGGAGGCGGAAGTTGCGGTGCATTGTGGGCTTGCTTTGAGCCAGGGACTTCATCCTGAATGAAAGTGGCGCGCCGCCCCTGACGTTACCCGGATTGGAGCGGTTGGAATTCGTGTCCCTGTGGGGATTCGGGTGTCTTGGAACTCCAGTGCTGACCCAACCGCAGAGAGGCAGCGGCAAAGGCTCGGCGAGCGTTGGTGAAGGGGCCGGTTCTGCGCGGTCCCCCAGGTCATGGCTCACAACAAGATCCCGCCGCGGTGGCTGAATTGTCCGCGGCGCGGCCAGCCGGTGGCAGGTAACCTGGGCGTCGAGCGGTTCGAATCCCCGCACTGGGATGGCTTGGCGGGTGGGCCGTTTGAAGAGGCAACTTTCAGTGGTAACACGATGGTTAGTAGCATTTCGGGATCTAAATGTGTTGGATCGTATGAAGCTTCGTGGATGAGTGTTCGGGAACATGAGGGATATACTTGTCATTCCTGTAAGGCTAAGTGTTGGGAACGGGAAGGTAGGAGGTTTGTAGGGCGTGAGCTGAGGACCTAGGAATACATTGGTTAGTATGCTGAAGCTTAGTCAGAAGTTTGTGAACCTTTTAGGGATCAACTGTCTCCTCGGAAAGAGAAGGGACGACATGGAAGAGGAACACGGAGGAGAGGCGGTTCTCAGCGGTGATAGGGGTTGACATCGTAACTGGGGATTTTATTATGGACTTTTTCGTCTCAATGAGTTTGATATACAATAAGCTTTATTTAAAGCATACAGTTTGGTACACGTTGACTAAACACACATGTATATTTCCTATGAAAATCCTATGAAACTGGCTCGGTGCCTGTGGCTCAAGTCGCTAAGGCACCAGCCACATACACCTAAGGTGGCGGGTTCGAATCCCCAGCCCGGGCCCGCCAAACAACAATGA